TTGGCCTTGTGAAAAGTATCTTGCTCTCCATAATCACTAATCACATCTCCAGCCTCCTCAGAAAAGGTTATGCTAGAGCAAGCAGATCAATAAGGCACACATTAGAGAATTCTTGATGAGTGGCTAAAACTGGAATACTTGAAAATTCAGTGCAGTAGGACTGGATTTGCTATAGCCTACAAGAATTCCAAGTCATCAGGCAATAAATGATACAGGAGAAATTAAATGCATCTGAGATTTAACAACAAAATAACTGGCGTATGCTTTTGTGAAAGAAAACATTTTGGTGAAACTAAGACCAAGTTTCTTTAAAAACTTCCCTGAAATGACTGGTGAGATTTGAAATTACAAGGTAAACAAAATTATCTTACAACTGGGGGTCTCAATGTTCTCAAAAGTTATGCAGAGTGTACTGAGGCTCTAACCTCTATAGAAGGTAAAAGCTTATTAAATGTTGGCTAAAGACAGTGAGAACAATTTCACTTCATAATTAGAGATAGATTTTATAGGCATTTACATTAAAAGAAAAACAAAGTATGGTAGCACTGTTATTTTTAAAATTTTGTTACCGATTTATAAGAAGCAAGAGGAGAAAAGACTGTAACTATACTTATTAAGGGAACCGGAAAGAAGTAGTTCTCCTAAGATAGCTCGGTTGGTAGACTTCATGTGTCATCAGACTTTCCGCGGTGCTGGGAGAGGAGCCCAGGGGCTGGTGCGTGCTAGGCGGGTGCTCTACAGTGACCGCACCGGCCCCACCGGCATCACCCTTAGTACGCATCTTCACACACAACTGAGGCGAGCCATTTGCACTATCACAGTAACTCCACCTAGAAACTGTCAGCGTGAGCCAAAGGGCAGCTGGACATGATTAACAACTTCACTTCTAATCATCAGCTATATGGAAATTGTATTTAGTTGTATTTTTAATTAACGACTAAAAAATAACATTGGGTCTGTATACACTAACAAACTACTGATAACACTAAAATGAAGTCCTAAAAACCTCTACAAAACGCCTCCATTGAAAATTCAGAAAATAAAGCCTTCGGTGTTTCCTAGGGTGGACAGCAGGAAGGTGAATCTACAATAAGAGGGGAATTTGAGCACAAGTCAGTGATCTGGTAAGTAATTCCTTGATTTCCACACTTGAACATGAAAATACAGGCTTCAATCCACAGTCATAATACTTCTTGAAAAGGAACAAGGGAGAGCCAACCTCGTGGCTGCAACACCAGGACAAATAATTCCAGTATTTCAGTATTAATACCACTATCCTCTAACGCACTATATACATTTAGTGCATTGTGATCAGTGTATTTTAGTATTAACATCATTATTAATACCTCTTATTAATACTATTATTACTTAACCCCGTATTGGTACCACAATGATGTGCTCCCTAGTAACAATGCAGGCTTAGAAAGTGGGCCTGGAACCTGCACCTCCTCCACTCCCAAACACACACATCGTACTCCGTCTTCCTAAAGTCCCCTTGTGTGCTCTTATGCCCCAACTACCAAACCAATGAGCAGTCTTCCAGGAACTTCAAAAAGTGGATCTGAGAGCAAACGAGATCATATCAAGTTAAAAAGCTTCTGCACGGCAAAAAAAAAAAAAAAAAAACAACCAACAGAATGAAGTCACAACTACAGAGGAGGGAAAAGTTTTCTGCCAGCTAATCCTCAGAGACTGTTAGTATCTAGACTACATACAGACCTCATAAAAATAAGAGCCCCCCAAAAAATAAAAGATGCAATCAAAAGATGGGCAACTGAAATGAATAGACATTTCTCAGAAGAAGTAAAAATGACCAATAATTACATGAAAAAATGTTCAACATTGTTAGAAAATTAAAACAACACTGAGACACCATTTTACTCCAGAAAGAATGAGTATTATCAAGAAATGAAATAATAGATGCTGGTGAGACTAAAGGCAAAGAAGAACCCTTCTACATTGTTAGTGGAATGTAAACTGGTGCAACCACTATGGAAATCAGAGTGGATGGAGAGTCCTTAAAAATGTAAACTAGAAATTCCATTTGACCCAGCTATGCCCCTTGTGGGTATCTTCCTGAAAGAGTAAAAGACACTGTATTGCAATGAAACATGCACACCCATGTTTACAGCAACACAACTCATAACATGTACATCTTGGAAGTAGCCTACATGTCCACCAACAGATGATGGATGAAGAAAATATTTATATACAATGGAGCGCTATTCTGCCAAAACAAAAGATAGACTCGAGTCACTGTAGGAAAGTGGATGAACCTTGAGACTGTGACGCTAAATGAAATAAGTCAGACACACAAACTTAAATATCATAAGAATTCTCTTACACGAGAAACCCAAAACATAAATAAAGAGCAAAATAAAATATAGATCAAGGAAAGTAGGGAAATACACATATTTTGTTCAAATGGGAAGAAATTCAAGAGAAGGGGAGAGAAGAGGAAGGAAAGGAGATTCTAAAAAAATAATTAACATGTATTATGTGCATGTACCAATTCCTAAAAGCAATGTAATCATTATGTAATGCAAACATGTACTAATAAAAAGAAAAAACTGTTTTTATAAGTTTATCAAACTACATACCTTACATAGGTATACTCTATAAATTATACCTCAATAAAATTGTAAAAACTAAATTACAGCCTAGGATCAATTGTAAAAGAAGCTTTAACCTGTCTCACTAACTTAGGAGTTTTCCTAAGAATTACGATCACAGAACTCTGGAGAAGTTGTGCCTTGATGGACGAACTTCTAAGAAAAACAAATACAACTATGTTGTACAAGTTATTGACTGGGACAGACGCCACTTAAATGCCCCCTCCAACCTCCATCCTTGGCCACTAGCCCCTTCCCAGCTGCTCTGGGTGCTGGCTGCCAGTGGTTCATAGGTGACTCCCTCTTAGAGCACTGCTCCTGGCAGAGGGGAGCTACTTTGCCCCTGAGAATCTGTGTGCTCCCACCTCCTCCAGGTGGCTCACCCCTCGGCCCCCTTGGCAGTCTGATGAAGAAACCGAAAAGGCCAGCCCCTGCTGCAAGGGAGAATAGCTCTGAAGTGTAGTTCACGCCCAGAGCCATCCTTTATAAACAAGGCCAAGCAGACTTCCTCTGAGGCCACAGTATCACTTCCCTATTGTTGTCACTCAGTTCTTAACAGGCATTTCCTCAGAAATCCTCCCTCTGTCAACCCTGTGCACCCAAACTTCTGTCTCCAAGGAGCAACCTCCTGTTGAGTGTTCTCCTAAACGTCACCTTGATCTGTGATCTTTCAGCTTATACATCTCTTTGGTTCATCTTTCACATGTATCCTACAGCCTGCTTAGAATCAAGTCCCTGCCTTTCCCTCCCAAGCAGTGTGACACGGATGATCCTTGTCCATCCTTACTGTCCAACTTCCATCCACCATGAAGTCACCCAGAATTATTTTGTGAATGACTGTGAATCAACTCTTTTTGAACTTTTTTTTTTTTTTTTTTTTTTTTTTTTCTTTTTTTCCGGTACCGGGGATTGAACTCATGACCGCCTGCTTGCAAGGCAGGTGCTTATACCACTGAGCTAAATCCCCAGCCCCAATTTTTTTGTTTTTTTGAACTTTTTTTTTTTTTTTTTTTTTTTTTTTTTTTTTTTTGAATCAACTCTTGATCTGATCTCATTCTGTCTGATCTTATTACTCCATGAATCCTTAGTAAATACTTTGTAACTAATGAATTGCCATGAGGTGCTCAAATAATATGTGGGTGATAAAATATAATCTTGAGAACTGTATTAACTAGATATGAAACTTCAGTTACAAGCTGACTTTCACTTACTTTTCCTGGGTGACCCAGTGGATAACTAAATCAAGCCGTTTTTCAGACAGTCCACATTTGATTCCTTCCAAAGTTAGATATGCATCAACAGGACTTCTAAAAGCGTGACTTGTGCTAAATATAGCCTCAAAAAATAAAAGTAATGGAAGAGTCTTTCCTTTTATTCTTCCAACAGCTATAAAATAAGAACAGTTTTGAGTTAGATACTTTAAGGGACAGTTCGCTTTTCCCAATTTTGGATTACTGTTTCCATCGCTTGGTAATTTCTACAATTTTAAACGTATGTAAGGACAAACCTTCGCACCTTGGATAACAGCTAGCATTATCCATGCCACGTGAAGATGGAGGTAGAGATTAAAGTAATTTGTCTATGAAGCAAGAATGCCAAAAATTGCTGATAGACCCCAGAAGCTAGGAGAGCTCCCTGGCAATCTCCAGGAGGGACCAAACCTGTTGTTGCCTTGATTTCAGACTTCTGGCTTCTAGAGCTATGAAAAATTAAAATTTATTTTCTAATAGTGCAAATCTTCCAAGATCAAAGAAAAACTACGACTTAATAGAGAAACAAAAGATGGAGTTGCTGGTATACTGAGATAAAACTCCTCAGGCAGGCTGCATTGCTCCACGACCTGTCAGACTAAACAAGCATAAAACGGGACATTAGATAAACATATTTATTCAGACACAGCCTGTGTGGGACGGACTGTGTCCTGCTGTTAGTTACTTCACGCTGATGGAAGCATAGCTTCTAGGCTGTGCTTTGCCCCCAGTGGCTCCATTTTATAAAGCAGTTTGCTCCATTTGGAGTGCAAGTGCTGAGGCAAAATAACTTGGCAATCTGTCTGTGCAAGACACATCCAGATGCTAGACACATCCAGCTTATTTAAACAACCTTACAATAAGCTGGGCGTGACGGCACATGCCTGTAATTCCAGTATTGGGAAGCTGAGGCAGGAGGATCATACTGAGTAGAGACTAGCCTGGGCTACACAGTGAGTCCAGGCCAGGCCGAGATCCTGTCTCAAAAACAAAACAACAACAACAAAAAAAACCCTAAAACAAAACAAAATGCCACCTGCATAGCACAATCATAAGGGATAAACTGATAAATAAATTAATCATGATAAGAAAAATATGACTTGTAAATTTACCAAATTAAATCAGGGAACATGAACACATGCCACATCAAAATTGTATCAGAGACAAAATAAGCCCATGAGTTTCTAAAACATAAAAGGGACACCCAACACTGAGGCACAATGGTGACCCATGCTGACTCGTCACCTCTTCAGATCACGTGGTGGGTACATCCTAAGGTCAGTGGGTGACAAAGTCCAGCTCTCTGTCCTCAGCTTCAGCTTACCTTGATCGCCCTTCTGGACACAGTGCACTCAACATGTCTGCTGTCCAGACAATGGCTTTGCACCAACTCTGAAATCCCAACAAGCCCATATCTCACACAAGTTTTGCTTGGTCTGTAATCTTAATTGGCCACCTAGAATGATTTTTCAGAGCTCTGGGATTTCTGCCTTTGCATTAGCTCTGTCTCTTGGAATTCTTCTGCTGCTGTTAACCCTTCTTAGATATTCCACAATCTGTGTTTTATATATTGTGCAGTGTAATATGTAACTTAGTGCCACAGAAATTAGCAACTAAGATTGCAATAAAAGAACTTATGATTACTGGACATAGTGGCTCACACTTGTAATTCCAGCACTCAGGAGGAGATAGATCTATCAATATAAATTTCAAAATATTTATGCTTAAGAGCAAGAAGTCAGCCAAAACAGGATATTCTCCTGTATGGCTGGAATTGTATGAAGTTATAGAAGCATAAACGTGCATCTGGTGATTGCAGGTAGACTGCTGGTAGCCTGAGGACTGGGAGGGGGAGAGGCTGTGAAGACATGGGTAGGAGGAGTGGGTAATGGGAAGGGAAGGATTACTAGCAGCATGAGGGAACTTCTGGGTATGACGTTACAGGCTATAAACATATGTAAAAATTCACAAATTGGTACTTTAAGTATGTACAGTCTGTTGTATATTTGGCAATTTACCACAGAAAGTTGGTTTTCAAAAGGATATGGAGCAAATTTGACAAAAATTAACTTGTCTTTTTATTTATTTTGAGATAGGGTCTCCCCATAATCCTGGGTTGGATTTGAACTCACAGTTCTTCTACCCAGCTCAAGAGTGCAAAGATTACAAGTGTGCATCACCACACACCTGACACAACATTTACTAAATTTTGATAGTGAACTCATGAGCATAGACATGTTTCTCCATGCTTTTCTATACACTTGAAATATTTCCTAATTTAATTAAGAAAATCTAATCAAATGTTTTAAGATTACAGGAATCAATAAATGGCAGAGATAGGACTAGATCCTAGATTGTTAGCCTCTCAGTTTAATATTCTTTTCCATTCTGACAAGGAAAAAAAGTATAATTTATAATAAAATTCAAAGAGAAAGACTTACCCTTAAATTTGTTCATTATATTCACGTTTCGTAGAATTCTTCTAGGACTGTTTGCTGCAAAACAAGCCGCCTTTTCATATTCACCAAGTGACATTAATTCATTGAACCTACAACCATTGCATTTCATATACATAAAAAAGAAAATTGGTTAAAATATGTAATCCAAACTAAAATAATGGCATGATATAAAAAGGAGCAATTCTAGTAACTAAAGCTGGATTCATTCACTTTGTAAAATGTCATTCAAATCTTTAATATTCAGCATCTTTAATATTTGCCTTGTATATACTCTCACCTTCCAGTTAGTTTGAACTTCCTGCTTTTAAACTTTATTCCCAGAGTAGTATCCAAAGAAAGTCACAGAGAAGGGAAAGTAAAAACTTGAAGTCAATTTACAGTGGGCTCAGAATTTTTTCAGTTATATTATCTCAAGATGAAAAGAGGTATCATGGGGAAAAAAGGCAATCTGCTGAGAAACTCAGCCTAGAAGAACTATTATTTGCATGTAAAGGCAGCCAAAGTAGAGCTCCAAAGGTGTCCTAAGTAGCCTATGTTGCTCTGCCAGGCATCAGACTCCCAATTAACAGGCTAACACAAGAAGTAGAGTGATAGTTAAAATAATTTAAGCCTCTGCTCCTCTTCCTATAGCAAAAGATTTTCCAAACAGCTCTGACTTCACAATTAATAAGCCCATAGCAAACAAGATTTACAAAGTATTGCAAAGGAATGTGGAACCCAGAGAAGAGCAAAAAACACCAACATAATATGAAGCAAAATATATAAAACTTTGCATCTAAACAAGAGTTCTTCTGTCATATCAGAGCTGATAGACTTACAGGAAGCATCACAAGGAAATAACACAAGCTTTGGTGCCCACCCCAGATTATCTTTATCTATGTCTTTGTATTATAATCAAAAGCAGATAACAGATGCAAATGGTTTTAACATATAAAACTAGAGCTAAGAGACTTAAAATGGTAAAGGCCAGCGGCAAAGACAGCTTCTCCAGGTGGGAGTCAAGACTCCAGGAAAAAAAACAAAGAGAAAAATGAGTCCTAGGAATCAAGAACGAGCTGACAGGAAAACCAGAAACCATAAAGACACTGAAGAAAGTAAAGACAATTCAGACAGAAAAATGAAGCAGTCAGGAATACCCACAGCTCCCCCAGTGTGAGTCCGCAGAAAAGTTCATGTTGCCATAAGCTGCAAACACAATGTCGGATTTTACTCTGAAAGTGACTCCTTCCACCTGGCAGCCTGGAGTTGCAGAGGAAATTCACCGCAACATCTGCCATACGTGAGAGTGATACAATCAGAAGCCATTTGGGGAAGGAATACATTGGTTAAAACAGAGGTTCTCCAAGAATCAAAAGGCACAAAACAACTACATTTCATGATTCCTGAGTTCACCCTACCACAGTGACTGGATCAGAAAGGACCATAAGAAACACTCAAATAAGCAGCAAACTAGTCACAGATCCCTTGCAAAGTTTAAGCAGTAGCAAATTCAGTTGCAAAGAACACCTGAGGTTTTCTGATGGGTATGAAAGTGCTGACATTAAGTCACTCCGTGATCTGCTTTTCCCATCAGCCAACATGATCAGGGATATGCTTTGACCTGGACAACTGCACATGCTGGGTGTACAAACAGAAGGGTCTCTGGTGTAAGGGAGGGGCTTCGTGAACCTGCAGATCATAAAGCCAGTTGGAAATAGGGATTTAGGGCACAAAGAAAGGACACACACTAAGAACCACAGGATTGAATGCATTTGCAAGGTAGATGCCACACCAGTACATCCAGCAAGAAAGGTAGGCTAGGACCCAGCATTCACACAGCAAAACATAGCCATGGAAACAGCACAGGCCCTGGCTGAGCCTCACTGTGGCCCACCCATATCTGGTGGATTCTGCTACCAAGACCCTGGAATGAAATCAGTCACCCAGACACACAGAGGAATTTTTTAGACTCTTCTCTTTTTCTCTTTTTCTGGGGGGAGGAGGCATTGTTTGTGTTTTTCCTATTTTTTGTTCTTTTATTTTTTTTACCTTCTTTTTTCTCATTTGTCTTTTTCTATTATTTAATTAATTATTAATTGATCATTAATTTTCTTTTATTCTTTAGTTCAATTGTCTCTTTTTGTTTCTCTTTCTCATCTTCCCTTTTTTTTCAAATTATACATGTTTGGCCGCCTGGAGGAGGGATCTGTGATGCAGAGGCCTGCTTGGGCCTTGCCGGCGGCCTTCTCTTGGTCTGGAGGGCACGGCCGCTGCCACCACCCAGAGGAGCTGCACTGCAGAGGAGGTTTGAGGCCTGCCTGGGACATGCAAGTGACCTTCTTTCAGCCTGGTGGAGCTTCGCCACCTGAGGAGGTAGATGCCTGCACAACATCCGATCCCCTGGAGAGCTTGAGATCCTTGCTCTGGGTGGTTGGGGACCTGCTTGGCGAGCAGCCAAATAGATTGGGCTGGGCAGGATTCAGGCCTGCATGGACCACACCTGGTAGCCTTCTTTTGGTCCCGGGAACTTTGCTGCCACAGGTGGGAGCTGTGCGGCTTGAGGAGGCTCTAGGCCTGCCTGAGCTGTGCCTGGCAAGCTTTTTTTAATCCAGGGGGTCACTGCCCAAGGAGGGAGCTATGCTACCAGAGTAGTCCCAAGAGCCCAGGACATAGGAGACAATTTCCAACACACCCAGGGGAAGCTTTGGAATAACACTTGAAGCACAGAAATATAGGAAAATGACAAAACAAAAGACCAAAATATAATCTCAAACATCCACCCCATTCCAAGAAAGCCTAGGAGCCATGTACATAGAAGAAAATATAAGCCATATGCCTGAAATACCTGAAATAATAGTAACTGAAATAAACAACTCTGGGAAGCTTTAAAGGAATTCAAACTGGAAATAAATAATCTCCTAGGTAAAAGAAGAAATGATAAAAATAATGAAAGAGGGGGGATGGGGATTTAGCTCAGCGGCATAAGCGCCTGCCTAGCAAGCAGGTGGTCATGAGTTCGATCCTTGGTACCAATAAAAAGTTTAAAAAGAAAAATGAAAGAGATGCTGAACACATCTAAAGAAGACAAGGTTAAAAAATTACAGGAACAAAACAAAAAGATAGAATCCTTGGATGAACAATATAAGAAACAAACAGAATACATAAAGCAGATTCAAAGAGATATACAGGAAGTCAAAAATTCCTTTGAAAGTTGTCAAAACCACCTCAATGCCTCAATGAAAGTGAACATAAAATTTCAGACCTCAAAGACAAGATTGCAGCTATTGAACAGGAAAGGAAAGATCTCTTAAAAATAACAAGGAATCAGGAAATAGCAATCAAACAACTGCAAGATGACTCAAAGAAAACAATGTAAGATTGATAGGGATAAATAAAAAAGGAGACAACACAAATGATATCAAGAGACTATTTACAAAAGTAATAACAGAAAATTTCCCAAACACAAGAATGGAAAATGACATAGGATTAGTGAAGCATATAGAATTCCAGATAGCCATAACCAAAGTAAAACTACACCCAGACATATAATAACCACCATCCCAGAAACCCAACATAAGAACAGAATATTAAAAGCTGGTAGAGAGAAGAGACAGATCACTTATAAAGGAAAGCCTATCAGAATCACAGCAGACTTCTCAACACGAAAAATGAAGTCAAGAAGAACATGGAGTGAAGTATTTCAGATCCTAAAGGAAAAGATTTCCAACCTAGACTGATGTACCCTGAAAAACTGACCTTCAAAATCGATGGAGAAATAAGATACTTCCATGACTAAGAACAGCTGAAGAACTTCATGATCACCAAGCCAACCCTGCAAAGAATACTGAAAGACATTCTAGACACCCATAGGAAAAAAACACTAAACAAGGCAGACAATTAAACAGAATGGAAAGATAAAGATGCAACAGCACAAAGATAACATGTCAATAATAAACCTATAATATATAACAGTTACAACCATTAATATAAATGGTCTCAATTCAACAATTAAAAGAAACAGACTGGCAGAATGTATCAAGAAACAACATCCAACCATATGCTGTCTACAAGAAACCCATCTAACCCAAAAGGAAACTCATATACTGAAAGACAAAGGATGCAAAACAATACTACATGCAACAGGAACCCAAAAAAATGTGGGAGTAGCTATTCTGTTTGCAGACAATGTGAAATTTAAACCAAGAATGATCCTAAGAAATAAAGAGGGTCATTACATATGGGTTAGGGGAAAACTTCAAGAGGAAGAGATAACAATCTTAAATATATATGCACCAAGTTCCAGAGCACCCAGTTATACAAAGCAACTATTAATAGAAATGAAAAATCAAATTAACAACAACACAATTATAATAGGAGACCTTAACACACCATTGACCCCAAGGGACAGATCAACCAGACAGAAAATTAGCAAAGAAATAACAGAACTGAATCACACTTGTGAACAAATGGACTTGATAGACGTACATATCCAACAACATCAGAATATGCATTCTTCTCAGCAGCACATGGGACATTCTCTAAAACAGACCACATACTAAACCACAGAACATATTTAAATAAATGCAAAAGAGTTGAAATTATCCCATGCATGTTATCAAGTCATAGTGCCATGGAACTAGAAATTAATGATAAAAGAAATTGCAAAAACCCCACAAACACATGGAAATTGAATAACACACTCTTGAGCAATCAAGCAGTCACAGGGGAAATTAAAGTAGAAATTAAACAATGCCTACAAGCAAATGAAAATACAAATACAACTTACAGGAATCTGTGGGATGCAATGAAAGCAGTTCTCAGAGGAAAATTATTACACTGAGTTCTCACACCAGGAAAACAATGAATACAAATAAACAACTTGATACTACACCTCAAACGGCTAGAAAAGAAGAGCAAGTCAAGTCCAAGGCAAAAGAAGAGAGGAAATTATAAAAAACAGAGCAGAAATTAATGCAATAGAGACTAAGAAAACAATCCAAAGAATCAATGAATCAGAGTTGGTTCTTTGAAAGGATAAATAAAATTGATAAACCCTAGCCAACCTACTTTAAAAAAGGAAAGAAAAAGCTCAAATTCATGCAATAAGAAA